TTTTTCCATTAAATACTCAGTAAAATTGTAACACACTAAATCCTTGTGCCAGATGTCTTCAGTATTATGGATTTAAGAGAAATATCCTGAGTCCTATTGTGTACTTGCAGTCTGTTTCAGGGCTTGGTAACTTTTAAAAGTTTGTTCTTTCCTCTTTAAAGGATTAAAGAAACATTTTATCCAGAGATCCCAAATCCTGAGAACAGTAAGGCACTGCAGTTTCAGAAGAACATCTGTGAGGTAATCCTCATTTTAAATCTAGTATTTTAAACCTCTGAAAGCTATTGCAAGTAAAGAATTCTTTTGCAAATTTTGAGTCTTTTGCTCCAGTTGTAGAAAAGATTCTGTGGCAGAGGGGAGGAGGAGAAGTTACTGAATAACTTTTGCCAGATTGCTATTTACAGCTTTTTTGATGTTAATGTTAGTTACTTGCAATGTTTGAACTGGGAAAGGACTGCTGCATTTATCCCCGCCCACACTAATGAGAAGTATCAGAACCTGATGACTTATAATCATGTTATAATAGTAACATACCTGTCTTTGTCACAGTATTAGGAGAAGTAGAAGGTGTGGGGAAGTGTACACGCCATGTCCTCAACCTCCTCGTAGACGCAGTTAGCTGGAATTGGGTGTAACATTTAAACAACCTCATGGAATGGGTTATACAAATCTGAGATTTGGGGAAAATCAAACACTTACTGCAAGATCTGGAGTCTGGAGTCACTTTATGTTGGCTAAAATACTTTTAACATTAACAAGAATACATGATGAGCCAGAAAATGAGAACTAAACCACCTTTTTTTCTATATCTTACTAATGTCAGTGGGATGAGTGCAAGCCACAAGCCAACATACTGATTTAATTTGGTGAAGTTGCTGCTTTCAGGGTTTGTGGGTCTTTTGGCTTAGTCTCTCTTCCCCTTCTTTTTCTTGCTTCAGGGGAATAAGACTCTTAAGACACTGGAAATGAACCCCTGTACTCCAAATAGTGTTGAAGTGGTGGAAACACAGTCTGCAGCTCCCAAGATTGAAGACACAGAGATGATGTCCCCAGCAGCAGACACCACTGTGCCTGAAGATGGCTCTGATTCAGAAACAGAGAACCATGTGGTTGTGTCCTACTGCCCCCCTATCATTGAAGAGGAGATCTCACATCCCCCTATGGATGAACCTGTGGGATCATCTCAGGTGGTTTACATTGACATCCAGTCAATGTATCAGCCTCAGATTAAACCAGAGGAGGAGCCAGAAGTAGACTTGGTGACTACTGCTGGCTATAAGCCACAAATGCAGTTGCCTGTCAGTGCTCTGAAAATGGAGAGTCACTCACCTGCAGAGGAAGAGTTGGATAAGACTGCAGGTTACAGACCTCAAGCAAACACAAATGCCTGGAACATGGACACGCCAGACTCTCCTGGATCAGTTGAAAGCAACAATGAAAATGCATCTTTTGGGAGCCCGTGCTCCATTAATTCCCGACAGTTTCTGCTTCCCCTGAAAGATGATGAAGACTCTCCCAAACCTAGTAACATAGGATGGTCCCTTACACACTTTTTTCAGAACAAAGCAAATGATTAACAGTTGTCACTGAACCCAAACCTGCCTTCTAAATAAGCTCTTATACTTGATGTTGTAAAGAAAGGCAGAAGAGAAGTGCAAAAGGCATGAATTATACTTGGAGACAGTCAGCAGAGGTTCTAGTGAGCTGAATGTTACCATGTTTAAGTTAGCAAAAGTGTTAATGTTCCATTTTAATGGAGGCTGAGAGGCAAAAGTTATAGCAGTTTAACTATTACTCTAGTGAAATACATTGGATATAAGGGGTATTGAGTTTAGAGCTCCTGATAATCACAATCGAAGAACTCTGCCTACCTTCACATAGTGCTCCAAGATTAATGTGGTCTGAAGCAACTTAGAACTTGGAAAGATTGCTTTGCTTTACTGTAGTTGTACTCAAATGTGCATACTGAAATGATGCAGTCCCAACAGGTTTCCATACTGAAGGTTTCATGTATCACAAACCTTAACCTAACAGGTGGAAACAATGTGGTTGGAAACTGTTGAGATCTTTTTTATCTAGTTATAAACAAAGAACAAATAAGAGTGCTTTTTTTTTTTTCCCCTGCTCACATATGGAAGGGTATTGTCACTCTTTAATACTTTTGAAGCAATGGCCATTCAAATCTGTTGCTTTTTAACTAGACACTAGTTTCTGTACCTACTGTAAAATGTTTATTCAGTGTTTGACTCAGGGGTACATACTTGGGGAAAAAAAAGTGCAACACTGATTTAAACCTCAACAAGAACTGCATAAAGTTTAAACCTTTTTTTTTTTTTTTTTAAAAAAAAAAAAAAACAAACAACAAACACAACTTAGAATGCTCCATTAATCTTCCCTAATGTATTGCACTAATGCATTTTGTATTTCATAGCTTCAGCTTCAGACCTCCTGCTTCAAAGTGGTACAGTACTTCATTCACCTGTAGTATTCAGCAGTCTTTGCACTATACAGTAATGTAAGCCATGGGGATATCTTTGTCTACTAACATTAGCTGTCCAAGCAGACTGGCATGCAAAATTAGAGGTAGTAGTACTAACTCCTTGAGAACAAATTGCTCTTTGGATGGTGTTTATTGTATTAGCTTTGCCACTTGCTGCCTGGCTTTTCTCCAGTATCTACCCAACAGGAACTTCTGTGCAAAATCCTGCCTGAGAGTACAAGGTGGGATTTCTCTAGTGGCAGGGACAAACCCAAGGAGGTTTTAGTGCCACTAATTCTACCTCTCCTTTACCAGACATGTGATGCAAAGGAAGCTTAAATGATGTACATTTGTGTGCTTAAAGGAGTGTTCAAAACAATCACCTTTGAAAAATGCTTGTTTTCACATATGCATCTCTAGGCAGCTGTAACTGTAACATTTCACTGTCTAAACTTCAGACTGGCACACACGAATTTCACTAGCTTACAGGAGGAAGTGCTTTTTCACTTACCTCTTCCTTGTTATCAAACGCAGTGGTGAGAGGTCGAATGTTAAAAAAGCTTCATCAAAAAGGATGTCCATAAAGTCCTAACTGAACGGAATCTTTTTTTTTTTTTAGATTTCAATTTGCTTAGCAACTTTGTGGGTTTGTTAAATAAATAAGATAAGGGAGTGGTTTTCTAAGCAAGATTGCAAAACAGGTAGAGTGTCTGAATTAGCCAAGTTGCTAGCTGTAAAGGTGTGAGCTTGGCAGACATCTGGTCTAAAAACCACATGATCTGGCCATCAATCAAGCATTAGGTTAAACCTAATCACAGCAACAGATGGGGCAGTTTCAGATGTTGATATGTCTCTGCCATCTTCACAGAATAAAAATCCAGAGGGATTTCGAAACTGACAAAAAGATAAAACACTAAATAGCATCTAAATCATGATCAGTAACAACTACCACTGTGTGCCTCCTGGAAGAGTGAGCTGTGAAGACAGTACAAATAGATCTGTCTGCAGAGCTGATGGAATCCAAGGTGTATCTGAAAGAACTGAAAGTGCAGATGGGATTCTGCTTCTGAGGTTGAATCTTGGAATTAACAGAGCTGTGAACAAAAAGACAGGCAGGCAGTGCAAAAGAGCTGGTGTCCACAAGACATCACTGCAAGAGAAAGTTTCATGGATAATCTATTTCTGCCTATTATTCAGAACACTAAATTAATACATAAAAGGAAGCAGTTCTGCCCTTTGTGCTGGATAGCTGGGAAGTGGCTAAATCCTAACAGAAAGTAACCCTTTCTCACAGTATCTTAGATCAGATTCCTTTTCACTAGTGCAGACTTGGCCTACTGTGTTTATCTTCTAAGATGAATTTTAGATTGTGCTGCCATATGCTTCTTACTGAAAGTGGAAGATTCACAGAGTGTATGGTTAGAAGTTCAGGGGTTTTGTGGAGCAGGTTCTCAGTGCAGAGCAGCTCTCAGTATTGTATGGTGATACAAACAATAAAAAACCCTCTGTAGCAGAACAGCTAATAAGTGTGTTTTCATATGGCTGTATATTGCAAGAAGCAAAACTCAAATGAAGTTTGAGAGCACGAGTAGTTTTTAATTTGGCAGACTAGAGGCTAGGGCAGCTACAGAAAGCACACACAGCTCACAGCAAGCAGCCTAACACCTTTCACAGTGCTTCCACGTGAATCACTTAAACACATGTATCACATACTCACGTCTCCTTTGTGCTGCTCTTCCTACTCAGTAAATAGCTTCATTGCTTAGTGATTAGGTAGTAGAAAGGTCCACAAATACAGGGTCTGCCTCGATGGTGTCAAAGCATTGCCATCTAATTATTCATCACTTTTTTTTTTTTTTTTTTTAATTTTGACTGTGGTTGTTTTTTTGACTGGTGTTTTGACTTCCAGGACGTAGGGCAGAGGAGCCATGTTCATAGCAAGGGCTTACCATACACTTCATCATTTATTGGTAGCAGAAGAGTGGGATGAACAGGGGAGAGAGACACAGGATTGTGCAGTATATGTAGCATCATTTACTGTTGCTCAGTGGTTATGAACCAGTAAGCAGTTTTCATCCCAGCAATGGAAAGCTCAGCTGCTTCACCTCTGTGGTTTCCTTCGAGCCTATTCAGTGCTGCCAGTGAGGACTCCTTTCAAATGCCTATCTATCTTAAATCTTCATCATCAAATCCAGATACCAGAAGGGGTAGTGAGAGATGCTGTGCTAATTTAGTGATCATGTGAAGACACTCCGAGGTGTATGGAGCAGAAAGAATGAGTAATAAGGACTGTCAGGAAAGGGCCTTGCTTTCTGAATGCAAGTGAAGTAACTTTAGGAATATCTTCATACCAAATTAACTTTCAAAGCTTGGTGCTGTTTAGACTCTAAATGCATTGACAACAATTGTAAGACTAAAACTTTGAGTTTCAGAGGAGATCGGACTCCTTATTCTAGTGCCTTTGGGCTTTGGGGCTTCCTAGTGAGCCTCTTCAGTCAGATTGTTTCTGAAAAATGTCTTGGGAAACAAAGTGCTACATTTTCTAACCATCATTTTGTGAAAGATCTTAGTCATTTATTGAACATCTATTTTGTTTTAATTCTTCTGGCTTTTTTCTTACCTTTTTTTTTTTTTTTTTCCCTAGGAGACTAGAAAGTTCGGATTTTTATTAAAAAAACAAACAAAGAAACAAACAAACAAATAAATAAATAAACAAACCCCCCAACTTCCAGAAGGGATATGACCGGAAGGGATTGTGTCTGAAACAGTTACTCCTAATGCAATGCTTCAGTCCTCCAGCTGGTTCAGTGTTCAGAGATGTAGAATGTTAATGCCAACCAATTTCTTTCTGAAGCAAATCATTGGTGCTGCTGCTTTTTGTTTTTGAGCCATGCCTGTCATATGTGACAATTTGGGGTTTGTAATGGGGTTTTGTACTGTCCTCTGTACGTGTGGAACATCAGTCACATTTGATGTAACATCGTGCACTCTCCTGTTTGACAAATTCATTATTTTTGTTGTTCTGACGTGAGGGGATCTGGGATCTTAGTTTTGTGTGTTAGGTTTTGGGATGGTAGATCTGCATGTGATATACCTCACAGAACTACTAGTTAATATATCAGAAGAGTAAGCTAATACTAAAGGCAGGCAGTGAATTACCTCCCCTGCTATGCAGAGGCTGCATAGGCAGACTTAGGATGCAATGACTGACATTTTCTGATAGCTGTCTTTATTACCTGTAGTTGCTGCTTTCATGGGTAAACCATTTACAAAGGGAATCAATAGCTGTGTTGTCTGTCATGGCACAACTGGATAATGTGCCATGTTCCTCTGACTTTGGTTTATGTGGGGGACCAGAGCTTTCCTCTGCTAGGAACACAGCAGCAGCAAGCTTTTGCTGACCTTGAGCTTTAGGCTGCTCTGAAGAGGCATGCTCAAGCTGCTTTTTTTTTGTATATGTTTTGTTTTTTTTTTTTTTTTTGGTCTGTTTCTTTTTATACCTTCAGCTGTGTTAAACTTAGGGCTGCTGCAGTGTTTCCTGTGATCTCATCCTCCAAGACCCTCAGTTGAACATGACTAGTAGCAAAAATGCAGGCACTTGGATGCATTGGAGGGAGGTGTTTAGACATCACTCTAAAAAGGCAATGAGAAATCGTGTGCTCCATTTTTAGACAAATATTGCTTTGTAAATAGAATATTTGTATACCTACAAGTAGATAGAAATGATAGTAAAAGAATTTAAAATGCATAGGAAAAACGTAACATTTAAAGAATTGGATTGATAACAAGGCACCACGTACCACGATTTTATCAAGAGCTTCCCGTGTAAATAGCATCTTCTCTTCCACCACACCGTTTGATGTGCAAATGGCATTAATATTTTTAACACTTAAGAGAAGTGCTAACCTCTTATGCATGTGTGCTTATGTCATTAAGTAACTAGGTGCATATTGCAGAGGACGTTGGCTTGCAGTTCCCAAAGTGACTTTTTTTTCAGTGTCCTGTACGTGAATATATGCCTTCAGAGACACAGTTTCATCTGAGGAACAGCTGCCTTCTGCACTCCTCCCAACAACCCACATGGAATTTGTTCTGCTGTGTGTGAAGTGGTGCCCTGTGTGGCTGATGGTCAGAGATGCTGTCGGCAGTTCACAAGATTTGGTGGAGGCTTTTTCTTGGCCTTTTTCGTAGCAAGCCTGGAAACGCAGTCCCAGACACGGATTCAAAAATGTTGGCGTGTTTAAATTTCCTCATGCTTTGGCCTGTCTTAATTTTTTAAATAGCTTCTTAGAAGCTGGAAAACAGTTTATTCCATAACAATTTTCTTTCTTCTCCTCCCCCATTTATATAACTCTGGATTTTCCCCAGCATTTCTAAGATAGCCAGTGCTTGTTTCCTTTTTGCATGTTATGCAAACAAACTTCAGATGATATTGGCAGGGGTTCCTGTAACTTTACCAGTTGTCCCAGGGTGCATGACAATAATTTTTCCTCATAAAAGCGCCTATTAATTCCTTCTGCTTTTGCAAAAAAAGTCTCCAGAGAACTTTTGTATTTTGGAGGGTAGGGGCTCCCCCATACAGGTGAGCTGATCTAATAGCAGGGTGCCGCATGAGAGGTCGGGGTTAATCCCTCCCAATCTCATCCTCTTGTTGTGCCAGTGCTGCACTTAGTGGTGCAGCAGAGAGATTATATGCTTATTTTTTAATGTGATACCAGACAGAATCTCTAGGACCTCTCTTTCTGGATGGTCCCAAATCTGCACTTTGTTGTTACATGAAAGTGAGCTCCAGTGGAAGTGTATGCATGGCTTGCACAACAAGATTCAATAACGTTGCA